GTTACTTTATCGTTGCCAAATGTGTTATTATTGTAGCAAAATGTTACGTTATCATTGCCAAATGTGTTATTGAATTTTGACACACATCACCCGCCATACGGCATAAACTACACGCGAATAATTGTTCAAAGCCAAAGGCGCAATAATAATCGCGTGTAGTTTATACTTATACGTGATAGTTTCTCAATATTTTGTATTTGCCAAGCTACTTTTGTCGCAATTGTTTCTATAAATCTATTATATATACGATAAAGATGAAGTTCTGCAGTATAAACTGTACTATACATACTATAAATACAAATATTATAATAAAATTTAAATATTAACTTAAAAATATTACTGAGATGATCCTGTTATCCCACAGGCTATATCTATGAAATTGCACTGGTATACCTATATAACTGACAGTATTTTTTACCTTGAATATTGTATCATGCACAAGTTTTCGTTCTCTGTTTAGATTTTAATTAATATAATTATACGAATATTTTAAAAATATAATTTCAAAATCGAAAGTCCATAGTCCATAGTCCAAAGTCCATAGTCCAAAGTCCAAAGTCCAGTCCAAAGTCCAGTCCAGTGTTTACAATATGCCCATCTCCAGGCTTGTAACTAAAATGTCACTTATTCATTAACGTACGTTTATATCAAACGAGAGCGTATTAAGAAATCCACGTTGATCACAATCTAACGATTCATACAATTGTGAATTCATAAATCCGAGCCAGTAAAAATAGGATTCTTTTGTCGTATGTGTGACTCTATCGGGTGGTAATATGTCTCGCACGTGATTGTAAAGTCCTAGTATTTATATGTAGCTTCACATATGAGTAATTTTTCGCGGAAATAGGTGCATGTAAAAGCGGGAAGGATGGACAGTAATATATAAGGAAGCGATAAAACTAGTTATTAGATAATAGTTATTTGATTATTGAATGTTGTGGCTAAATTTTTGCGAAAGTTTTTGTTTTATATTGTACTGATTATTCCTTTGATTGCATGTATATTAATTTCGAGAATTTGAGCATACTAAATTATGTTTCGCAAATATTGTTTGCTTTATGTTCCGATACACAGGGAATGAAAGGTTCAGCCGTCATAGGCGTACGGGCGGGAAACAGGGAGCCAGAAAGAAATTTACCCGACTTTTACCCACTGAATAAAATTTTCCGTGTAACTAAATTTCCAAAATTGTCGTTGGGAAGTAGACAAAAATATTTTCCTATTTGTCGATTCCTCGTTACTTTTACATATTTCTGGTATTTTCAAATACCATATTGCATATACTGTCTTCTTTTTAAATTTATTCCCCCAATTTTTGGCCGAATTTATTTTGACTGGGGTGCAGGACTGCCCCCCCCCCCTCGCCCGTACGGCTATAATCAGCCGTTGTTACGGATCGCTTATATATTGTGTTACTGTAAAAGTATTTTGACTTTGTTGCCCCTGATGACATCACAGGCGGCCCAATCTCGCAAGGGTCAGTATAGACTTAATACAGTATAAATGTATATTATAGTAATGTATACTAGTATAACAAAAAGTTAGTGAAATTGCTGCTGTAGGTGTATTCGCGTTGCGAACAAGTTAGCGCTTAACTTTGATTACCTTATGTTTGACATGGAGGCCTGGTTACCAACGCGTCTCAACGTCAGTGTTACATGACCGTAATGGCGTAATTCGTAATCAAAATGACGCCATGGTGCTAGCCAGTGTGCTGAGAGGCATTCACCCCCTGATAATATTCAAAATAGTGGACCTCCATAAGCGCACTGGGTAGGACCATGGCGTCAGCATTTTGATGATGAATCATGTGGCAGCCAGGGGCGTAACGTTATATCAGGGGGCCCCTAGTAAAGTGCCTTTCGAGTTGAATGCCATATATGTGTTATAGTTATTGCATTCCGGGAGATCGTTAATATAAATTAGGAATAATAGAGGACCAAAGGTTAGATCCTTGGGGTACCCCACAATGAATCGTTTGGATATTTGATCTACTTAACAATTAGTCGCCGAAGGCGAGGTGATTACAAGCCTATATTCACTGAGCCGAAGGCGAAGTGAATATAGGCTTGTAATCACCGAGCCTGAGGCGACTAATTGTTTTAGTATAAATTTCCAGGTGTTTACAAACAATAATCCACACAACTTTATAAAAATTCACTTCAAATAAATTTATTTTCACTATAAATAGTTTGTTTACAAAATTTAAATCTCAGACACGGCTCTGTGTCGCGTTGCGACTGAGCCAGTTTTTTTCCAAATAAAAGCACGTAAAATTTAATATTTTACCTTGAAATATTTTTAAACCATCTTTTGTAGCTTGTTTGGTTTTTTTCGGAATGCTATCTTCTTTAATTTTGGCAATTTCCTCCTCTGTTACTACGGCAAAACGAGCAGCCATTTTGAAAAAAAAGCTATAGTCACTGACCAGTGACTATCACTTCAGAGACAGTGAATCTTGACCAATCAGAATGCAGAAAAATCAATAGTCACCTGGAAATTTATACTAAAATTATTTAGAACGCAAATTTGCTTTCTTTGATCCACGCACTCCATATGCTTCAAGTTTTGTTAATAGGATCTGGTGGTCAATTGTATCGAACGCTTTTTTAAGGTCTAAAAATATAACCCCATTAATTAAACCTTGGTCCATTGCCTTTAGCCACATTTCTGTAGATTGAAGCAGTGAGGTTTCAGTGGAGTGATAACGACGAAAACCTGAGTGGTTGTTAACAATTATATCATTGTGGTCTAGAAAGGTATTTAGTTGTTTGCTGACCAGTTTTTCAAATATTTTTGCGATGCTGAAAATTACTGATATTGGTCTATAGTTTTCACAAAGCGTCTTGTCGTCAGTTTTATATATTGGAGTTACCTTTGCAAGTTTCCAATCATCAGGAAATATTCCTGTTTCAAGTGATAGGTTAAATATATATACAAGTGATTCAAGTATTGTCTCATCAGCTTGTTTCAAAAGCTTAGTTGAAATTTTGTCTAGACCAGTCAATTTTCCAATTTCCAAATTTTTAATTTCTCTTTTTATACCATGAATTTTTATATTTTCAAAGGTAAAAGCATTTGTAGAATGATTCATGTATGACAGAGGATGTGGACTAGTGTCACTATCAGCGATACTATTAGCCAAATTAGGACCTATGGACGTGAAAAACTTGTTGAACTCGTCAACTATGTCTTTCTTATCGGTTATCTTATTTCCCTGACCTATATTAAGTTCGTTGACAGTTGTGGCTTTGGATTGCCTATTTAAAAGATTATTTAATGTATACCAACCCTCTTTACTAGTTTTACTGTTTTGGAGTTTAGTGTTGTAGTATAGGGCCTTAGTTGGTTTAATTACTTCGTTAAGTTCGTTTCTACAACGTTTATAAGCTTCTTGGTAATTAGAAGAGTTGAATTTAATTGCTTTTTGTTTTAAATAGTATTTATGGTATGCAAGGTTTTTAATATTATTTGTCATCCAAGGACAGTGTTCACTTTTGACTTTCCGAAGTCGAGGTGGTGCATGTAGGTTTGCAATATCAAGAAAAATAGTTTTCCATACTTCCCACGCATGGCATGGTTTGGGTTGGAAAAATTATAACAGTTATAGTGGTTATGAAAAGCTATTCTTAAGTCGCGTTGGAATGCAGCAGAGTCAAAGTATTTAAACTGCCTTGTCTCTACCAGTTTTGGTTCAGACTTTGGTATGCCAACCTTCCGACAAATATACACTAAACTATGGTCGCTTATACCTAAATGTATAACTCCAGAATCAATGATTTTTATATCGCTTGCTTTAGTTATTATTACGTCAATTAATGTTTTAGTTGTCAGCGTTATTCTTGTCGGACTCTTGATGTGCTGCTTTAATTGATATTCATTTATTAAGTCTGACAATTTTTTAGTATGGATAGGTCACTTCCGCCTACTCTCTTGAGATATGTGAATTATTGCGACAAAGCGTATTTTCTGGCTTTGTGCCAAAATATTTAGCAACAGCAGGCATTCTTTCAAGATTATAAAGTTATGTGTGCACTATTTCATCTTTATGGCGTGTAATAAAGGACGAAACAAACTTCAATTTTATATTTTGAAGACAGAATAATGGACATACTGTAGTACCTGAATATTTGGATGGTAAACCAAAAACTATCAAATACTTTATAATAGTGAATAAATACTATAATTAATACCATATACTATTGAGTAATTAATAGCACATTAGCTTTCTTTTCGTGTAAAACTACACAAATTCACCATCATCACAATCCACTGCCTCCTCATCAAAGTCATTGACATTGTCAATTAGCTCTTCATCTAATTGCTGCATTGGCAAAGTTCAGTGCACTTCAACTTTGCTTTAAAACATAAGCATCTTTTTGTTTGACAAGCCTTTTTGCATTCGCAGCTAACAAATAATCGTCCTACTGGCGCCCATCGCCACAAGACAATGGGATATCGCTTATTTAACGAGAATTATGACAAAAATTTTCGTGTCAAACCGAATGTGCAAGCCAATTCCAAACTCTTTTTGGTTAAGAGCCTTGTGTGCGCGTCCATGAAACAGCAATCATACACTGTCTATGTCCATCTCTCCCAAACACATGGTAAGGTTGTAAAAGCAAAGTGTTCTTGCAAGGCTGGGGGGTGTTGTAAACATGTTGCAGCTACTCTGCTTCAAATACATGACTTTGTGGTACTTGGTTTAAGTGTTGTCCCTGATGACAAAAGCTGTACCGATGTTTTACAGCAATGGAATGTTCCAAGAAATATGGATACACACGGACCATTACTATTTACTGAATTGAAATTTGAAAAGGCTAACTTTGAAAGGGACAATAATAGTAAAAGGAAAAGACCTATTTTGTCTGCATCAAGAGATGGCTACTGTGCTACCCCACCTATGGCAAGGGAAATAAGAGTTGAAAGAATAACGAAATTGAAAGATAGTTTAACTGGTTCTAGTTATACTGTGACAGTGATTGCAAACCATGTACAATATTTCCAACTTCATTGAAAACTCCAGTAAATTGTGATAAGAGTTTAATCACAGTCAACCCAAAACAAGAGATTTTTGATGGCTTGGCACAAGAAATTGAGTGGAAACATGTCGATGGACCATATCGCAGGTTTGTAACTGATGTTGTCTGTGTGTCCAAGGAGGAGGTTAAAATAATTGAGAAAGAAACTATGGGCCAATCTTCCAGTAAGAAATGGTTAATAGAAAGACAGAAAAGACTCACTTCTTCTAACTTTGGCTCTGTGATCAAAAGAAGAATGCACATCTACCCAAAAAGTATTTTGAAAAAAGTATACTTAGCTTGGACATGAAAGATTACCTCCAGCTTCTCACTGGGGGTTAGAAAATGAACAAGTTGCAAAGGAGAAGTACAATAAAAAACTTCCCAATGCTAAACTTTATGATTGTGGACTCATTATCAACCCACAATGGCCCTGGTTGGCTTGCAGTCCTGATGGGTTGAGTTTACTAAATGGCGAATGGTATGCAATTGAAATAAAATGCCCATTTTCAAAAAGGGACATGGCCGTTGAAGAGGCATGTTCCGATAAAACCTTCTGCATGACCCTTATTGATGGAAGCCAATGTTAAAAAAATCTTAATACCATCAATACTATTTTCAACTCGCATCTTCGGGTATCTAGACCGCCGCTCTACCTATTGAGCTATCGAGTCAACAGGGGTTGGTAGCGAGTCTTATCCAATTTAAGTGCACGAAATATTTTCGTGACAACTTAACGCTTGTCTTGGAGGACGCGCAGTGTTTCAATTCTATTTCAGAACCATCCTCAGAGATAGGAAAACTAGTTTCATATTAATCTGACACTGCAATCGAGCAACGAAAAATTTGTTGGCTCGGGCGGGATTTGAACTCGCATCTTCGGGTATCTAGACCGCCGCTCTACCTATTGAATATTCTAAATACATTATATTCTATAATGCTAATATATATTGTATATTATGCATAGTATATTGTATATTTTTTTAATATTAAACTTTACAGATTATACGGTACAATTCACGGACACGTTTGCTCATTTGGAGCTTCCTCAGTTTCATGACCGCCTGCATGGAATATTTGAGAGTTTACTGGATAGCATTACAAGAGATATTCCTGAACATGATCAAGTACGTTTTGTGTTGCATTCACCTCAGCTTGAAAAACCTATTTCTTTACCATTCATGGCTCTTTCTCATTTGACAACAGAGCGGGTTTTAGCTCAAATTGAGCGTGTCATTCAATCCAATCATGAATTTCGTCTAAACGACAGTGTCAGGGTGAATTTGGTCCATGTTGAAATGCCCAATGGCGGTACCGGAACAAAACGTTCTGAAATAAATTTGGAAAGGCACTTAATCAATAAGAGGGCAATTGTACGGATTCAAAATAAGGACGAATTGTGTTTAGCTCGAGCACTGGTTGTTTCGATTGCCAAAATTGAAAACGATAGTCGGTATAAAAATATAGTTGATCATCGTTGGTCAGTGCAAGAGTGTTTAGCTGATGATTTGCACCAAAAAGCAGGAGTTCCTATAGGGTCTTGTGGTATAGACCAGGTCAAACAATTTCAAGCGCATTTGACTGGTTATCAAATCAATATTGTTTCGAAAGAACATCAGAATTCTGTCATTTTTTCCGGACCTGA